TTCCATCTTCTTTTAATACTTCCTGGATCATTTAACATTCTGCCGAAAGCATCCTTGATTATAGCAACTCGAGGTTTGAATTTGTTCTTCACCTATAGAAATCCCAAAATGTTTAATTGTGTTTATGGGACATTTATACCTAGATCAAGAAGCTGTTGTAAAGAGAAAATGTATGGTTTAAAATTGAAGGATGTGTGTCAAGGCTGCATACTTTCTCCATAACTATTCAATCTGTGTGCTTAGCAAATAATTCACAAGGCCAGAGTCAATGAAGAATGTGGCCTCAGGATTGGAGGAAGACTCATCAACAACCACACTATGCAGACAATACTGCCCTGGCCTGCAGGGATCTTCAACAGTGACCCGAGGAGGGGAAGAACGAGAATGGGGGCGGACAGGAGGCACAGAAGCGCGGAGACAAGTTGAAATTCCAATCAAGTCTCAAATTTATTGAAAGCACTCACAGCTTATATACAGGTGCACAATGAGGGGAGGAGAAGTACTCAATGGGGGAGAATAACATCATGTCATTTCCAGTAAGCTGAAAGTTATCTGGTGAACAGAAACTTATCAGGGCATTCCTAGTAAACCAAAACCTATCCTCCCAGGATGGGGCAACTTGTGCAGACATGTCCTTAGAGAATTACAAAATGGCTTCAGCTAGGTTGAACAAGCAGCTCTCAACAGATCCTCCCTGTTTTTAATAATTATTTGAAGACTGCAAAACTGCAATAGGATTACCTTTGGTGCTCTCCTGTTTAACCATGTATGAAACCGGTGCCTGTCTTAGGTTGGACACCGCACATACTGATCTTACCCGTCATGGGCTAACCCAACAGCTATGGTGGGGCACCTGTCTTGCGTTGAAACAGGGGCTGGTGTCTCTTACCCATCTCTGGCTGCCCAGTTTATTAGCCTCTATCATCAAGGATTTTCTTTATCGGCCATTTGCAGTCTTTGATAATGGACTTGTATGGGACGGGAGGCTATGGATTTGATCTGCTGCTTGATAAAGCATGTAAGCCTCTGAATTGCCCAGGGGCCAAAAGAAATAAGCAAAAGAAAGCCTATTAAGGGCCCCCCAAGAAGAGTGACTGGTCTTTGACCACGTCCCCTTAACTTTTAAGCCATAATTGATTGATTATACATTCTTTTGCTTTAAATTTTTTGTCAGAATATGCACTAACCCAATTAAAAACTTAGTCGTGTGGACTTCTTGTGTTGAAGCTACAGCAGAAGTAGAGA